TGTGCCCCAGATGAGTTTTTTCAATTAGTTTTTACATGAGCAATACATTATTTGCTCCTTGGTTTGGAATGCGCTTGAATTGTCTTTTCAAATTTTCAAATCCAGACACTGATGTAGCCGCATGAATAGAGAAAGGGAAGTCTTGGTTAAACCTTCTATTTTTAAAGAGCTGGGTCAAGTATTGACAGAGAGTTACACACTGAGATGGGAGAAGCAAGTCTAGCAATATTCACAGTGCCTTCGTCACGAGTTACACAGGGAGGAGAATTGCACAATTTCTCCTTGCCGTCCCTGCTTTCACAAAAGCACCATAAAATCCTGTTCCATGCAAAGTTGTACAATCTCTTTGCCTGAGATTTTCCCATGCAGTAGGTCTGTGGGCTTCATCCAGCCAGCAGGGCACAGCTACATGCTCCCCTCAGGGGCAGAGTCATTGCAGTGTTGCTCTCTCCAGTGCCCTGGCCACGAAATGAGCAGAAGGGGCTCCCAGAGAAGTTGTTCCTTGGAGGCTGGCACAGACCCCACCACCAGCAGCAGCCCTCTGCGAGCCTCTGCTGCCCAAGAAGACAGCAGTGCTCGGCTCGCACCAACCTGAGCCAGAGCTGGGGGCTCTGGGAGACCTTCCTCAGCTCCACCCTGGGACACCTGCACAACCCTGCTCAAAACCCTGATTTACAACTGAGCCGCTCCACAAACTCCAGTCATTCTTCTTTTTGTGCAAACAGAACGAGGACAACTTCTACATCCCCCTGTTTTTTCCTTGGGGCAAAAGACTGTCTTTAGTCAGGCTGCATAGACATATAAAGTTCAATTTCATTCAGATCTTGTAAGTACTGCTGTAATATTTTAAGTGTCTAAAAAGGATGAAGGATGACTTAGGGTAGTATTAATAAAAACAATCTTAAAATAAAGGGTCAAACAAAGGTAAGTCTATTTATCTTTACAGTTTTCATCCAAATAGCCTCAATCCAGCTTCAGATAATATCTCAGAATGTCTCTCCAACTGAGAAATAGTATCCTAAAGAAAACAGTTACAGTAAGACTATGCAATCAAACAAATTATTTTGAACCCATTCCTTCACATTCTAACTTTGGTAGGACTAGTAACAAATCCTGCATTTGCCTCTGGGACTGTTTCTTCACCTGCTCCTATGGTTAAGAGCAGAACTGCAAGAAACGCCCATCAGACACGACACAGTACATTAGCACTAGACACAGCCCAGCACACCACAAATGTTATACTGTACAGTTTTGCTCACCCAAGGTCTCAGAATAATTTTCAACATTGAGGAATATTATTACCAAAATTTACAGATGGAAAGCATTTAGTTGTTTGGTAAGCAACAGACAGCAAATCAATACATGTAACCGACCCCACACAGCTCTGTAGGACACAGCCACTTCTTACTGCAAAGAAAGAGTCATATTACTGGAAGGCCATTACAAACAAAAGGACATCAAATATTAGTTTTAAATACAAGAAGTATGATATGCTAGAGAGCATGGCCTTACAGCTAAAGCTCCAGACTGGACATCAGGATTTTAGCCTTGGTTCCATCCTCTGAGTGGTGTGTAACAGCACATGAGGGCTTGAGTGGCTACAAGGCTATTTCCTATCTGCCAAGAAAGAACTGCTACTTCCTTTTTCAAAGGAAACATGTTAAAATCTGACATGAGATCTACAAGAAATACAACAGAACATGAATGCAGACTAAATCCACTAGCCAACGTCTTATATAAGGCTGTATTTCATAGCGCAGGCATAATACCTTGCAACTCCTAACTTTCACATCTCCACAGCAGGTCTTCAGGCTCTAAGAGTGGAGGAGACAAGTCTTTATTTAAAGGCAGAAGTTTGAAAATCAGCCTGCATTTACTTGGCACCACCTCTTCGCAGCCCTGGCTTCACAGGAGCACAACAAAGGTAACACCATGCATTTCTGGCAGTCTGACAGCACCTACCATATTTGAAAACCAGGCACTAATCATCTGGGGGCAGGGAAAAGGGAGGAGAAGGCAAGACAGTCCAAACCAGGGCTTTTGCTCTGTTGCAATCACTGGGCTAAAGCAAGGCGAAAGGCTGAATGGAAGGCTTAACAGATTAGTTCATCCTCAGTCGTTAAAAAAGTTTTACTTGCAAGTAAAGCTTTGCAGAGCTTCACTGCTTCAGCTAAAAGCAGTCTGACAGAGCTCTGAGTCATTAAATCAGCTGCCTGGGGAAATATACATTGTTATGGCTATTTATTGCCCTCAGCCTGTTGCGTGTGACAACACTGCTCCCACTCACCCCTCGCTATTCCTCATAGTCAAGGGGGTTCTGGCAACACTGGTAAATGACTCAGGCGTTGTGCTAGACATGCCAGTGTTTCATCACAGTCTGCTTTTCAAGCATGAGACAGCCAGAGAGAGGGGGTCAACTTTCAAAATCCTCCAGAAACACCTGCACCCAGAGGGCAGGTACACTCCGTGCAGGCTCGATTCATTATGGATCACTGCTGTCTGCACCTCGGGAAACCCAGACGCACCACCAGACCCCTACCCAGATCCGCAACAGGAGCAGAAACTCTCCTAAACAAAGAGTAAGATAAGCATTTCATTATTTTTCCCTTTAACCCAAGTACTGCTTATAGGACTTGGGTTCAGAGCTGAAGTTTTCCAGCATTTCAGGTGTTTAGACCATGACTACCAATTTAATCAGCTGGGATATAGTCAAGGCATACCAACAGGTAAAGCATTACCACCTTTCACCCTGGCTGTTTATTACAGCAGACTCTAAATATGGAGGCCTACAGATCCACTGTGGTAAAGACCAGCTTTTCCTCAACAACTCTGTCGTTACTGCCTAGTGCCCATTCCGGGGTTTACATTGATTTTTCTTCTCAGTAAGGAGAAGGTGGTGGGAAAATAACAGATACCTACGTTACTTCTTTCCCTAGAGCAAATGAAAAATACTTCGCTGTTATTCAGCTCAACAAGAGCCAACTGCCTGCCTAGTAAGTCTGAAAGGCTGACTTCAGAAATCACGTTATAACGTAACACATTCTCTGGAGGAGGAGGGGACACGTCCTCAATTCCCCCACTTTGGTTTTGATGCTGTTACATGAAACAGCGATCCAGTGATGAGCTATAGGTCTGGTGACAGGACCAATATTGTCTCCTCAGCTTTACCAGTGCTCACCTGGAACCTGAGCCAAGAATTTCAGCAACAGTGATAATAGCTCCTTTCCTTCAAGGCTTCAGTAAAATCTAAGTTGCCAGATACCTACAGGGCCATCTGTAATACTTTACCAGAGTCTTCATGCGACTTTCACCTCAAAGGCTACCCTCAGGGTTCATCTACTGCCCTCCAAACTCAGGGCAGCTTTTCTCAAGTCATGAGACAGTGAAGTCAGCAAATGTCTACGAGGAACTAGGGAAAACCCACACTGGCAATGCACTGGTCATCTCCTCCACCCAAGCCCCCTCCGGATCCACTATTGACTCAGCCTGACACACCCTAGTGGGAAAGCCCTTTTAAGGGGAAGGAAGTGTCAGATCTGTGGCAGCACTGCAGATTAGTCTGTGCTTGACCAAAGCACGTGGTAAGCACATCAATGGGAGAGAGATGCTTCCCCCACCCCCCAGCTGTATGCCACTCTCCTGCTATTTATGTATCGCTGTCCTGCAATTTGTTCACTTACTGCCTGTTCACATACCTACCAATAACAGAAGCTGCAGCTTTAGCTGTGATCACACGTTTACAGCACTGTGTGGCTTGTGCTAACATACAAACATCAGCAGAACAGCTAACATAGCTTAGCTGACACTACAGAGTCACAGTAAAAAACTGACCTTCTTACAGCTAACAGAAGCTCTGCTATTCGTTACCTTCCATTGCACCAAGGTTTCATTAATGAAATTAATCACAGGTTACTACCAACATTCACTGTCTGGAAAAAGATCCTGCATTAGCCACACATGAATGCTGCCACGACATATAATCTTTATATGGAGATTCCCAGGAAGAACCACACAAAGAACTGAGCCACATTTCCAAAGTCTCTTTGGAGGCATCACGCAACGCGCTGGTTCACTTATCTCTGCAATCTGATTCATTAATATCTTTAGGCACTTAAATGGCGGATGTGAATAGAACGTAAGGAAGGCAGACAGGAAAGGAATGGGAATTTGGATAACAGACTCATCCATGAACTGAAATGACCCCAACAGTAATTGAAGTTTAATACTGAGCAAATTTTCTTTCCGTAAATAAAGTCAGATCATAACAGATATATAGAGGCCTACCAAGAAGAGAAGATGGTTCGTCTACACCTTGTGCTTGATAATGGGAACATGAACACAAGAAATAATATAATAGAACAAATCTTACACACCTGCTTGTTGATAATTTTAATAAATTGAAGAGGAGCTGTAAAAAGTATACTAGATGAAATACATTTCTAAAAATTGTAACATTCATTTTTCTGTTTTTGTCACATTACCTTCCCATGCTCTCAAAATACACACTTGTCGACTAAGAAACTCTGCTGTAGCCATTTAGTAGACCCTACAGGAAAACGAATTAAACTCTGAGCTGATCAAGCTAAGTCTTAGCAGACTAACTCAAGCCAGTTAGTCACATGGTACCATCTCTGGTAAGCCCCATTTTTGACTAGCATGGGCTTTTAGCACGTAAACTGATTAAAGGGGTGCAAATGGAGGCTTGCTGTCATCTTCCATACAAACCCTGGCAGAGAACAGTTGTTGCTCGATTACAGTTTTCCCCACTCACTGTCTGAAAGGACAAATCGCAGTTCTCCAAATCCAATTTCCTCAGCCTCCTCTGAGACAGCTGAAAATGAGCACTCTGACTTCAAAACATACCTGAACTTTGCCACTCTTCGGAAAAGAAACATTGCTACCTCTTGTGATTGGGATATCGTTCAACGCTGACTGAAATCCACTTGTCTCCTAACACATATATCCTGGAAGAATTTATGCTAGACTCAAAGAGAACTTACCCAAACTCCGTTGTCTTCTGGCTTTTTTCCCGATCTCTTCTTCATCCAGCTCCTCCAGCTTCCCAGGAATGCACTTCCATCTCAAAGGGATTGGGTGGATTGGTTACAGTTTTCTCCAGCAGTCCTAGAGCAGTCCAGGAAGAACATGCTCCATCCATAGCCCCCTGCAGAGCAGAAGGAGGCTGACATCAACCTCTACATTCTCTTCCCTCAAGTCAGTCATTCACAAGGAACTGAAAAATAAAAAGAGGACACTTAGAAGAGGTCAAGACAGACCAACATGGGGGAAAAAAAAAAGTCAGCATATGTAGATGCTTCTGGCTTAGCAGTTACCACTGTTTAGATCTATTATCACCTTTTTTTTCTCCTCTATTTAATAAGGGACTGAAGTTTTACCCAGAAAAGAGAAACTTAACCTTTTTTAAACACCAAATATGACTTTTTCCAAGTTGAGTAGCACCAGACCCAGCTGATTACAAGTTTCCCTAGACCTCTGCATCATGTCTATGCTTAGACAACATGAAACACAAAGACAATCTTCCAAGCTTTGTATCTCAGACGAAGGTAAGACAATACAAGCTTACATAGCCAGGAAGAGCATTTATAAGAATATTCTGGCCCAGGGACAACCTTCCAGGTTTCTCTGACTATTTTTCTAACTATTAACTATTAAAAGTGTCTCAGTTCTGAGCTTCATGTTTCCCAAAGACCTATTCCATGAAAAGTTATTTCCTCATCTATACCTGTATCTATACTTAAAACACAAATCGGTGGCTTGTCAAACCTCCCTACAAAGAGCTAAAAGTTAGCCAACCTTCAAGTGAAGCCACTGCCAAGGAACAGCAAAAGCAGGACTCCGCAAGCCAGATGAGAGGAACAACCCCTCCAGCACCCTAACCAACTAGGGCAGCCACAAAATCACTCATGCAAGGGCTGAAGACCCCAACCTAAACCCACCTGGAGCTTACTAGGTCTATGTGCAGCGGCTGGGATGGTCCAGGTGAGGCTGGTCAGGGCAATTAAAGGCCTGACAGTGCTTCCAGGTGACAGGGCTTGGAAAGCCATGTGCTCTAAAGTTTTTGAGTCAAAGAATGTCTGAGGCTTACGCAGTCTTGACAACGCACGTGCAAACAACCTGAGGAAACAGGTACAGCCAAAGCAGGTCAGTGGCTTACTCCATGAGAGCAATAAAGGGAGCAAACAGGCTGTGATCTTATCTGTGGTTCTGCCGCTTCACATCTGCTTTGTTCTAGCGAGAGAAACTGTTTGCTCCAGAGAGTTTCAAAATGCTTCGTTTCTACCTCTCCAGCCTCTAGGACTGTGGGTCTAATTTGAAAGAACACTTCCCTTGATTTTCCCTGTTTCTCTCTCCTGTCATTTTTTTCACGTACTGTGTTTTACGTGGTCACGATGCCTACCAAACAGGTCACAATGCTTAAGGCAAGAAAGGATTTTTGTGAGAATTTACCTTTCGGAGAAGTACTTGCCCACTTCCAGTCAATCTAATGCACTTTTACTCTGCGCATTGTAACACATCCCTAAATCACAAATATGCCGCTCTATTCTCTGGTACCTCACCCTCAGAACCAAACTTCTTTTTACTACGTTAACCACCGGTCTCAAATCCCTCAAGGAGTTCATCCTAGAAGCAACAACGTTGCTATACCTGACGTGGCTTGACAGCCCTGGAGTTTGGGTATTCCAGTTAAATGAAAATTCAGCAGAGCTCCCTAACAAGGAGGAGGAAAGGAGACTTCAAACAGGAGGAAAGCTTTCAGCCCGAGTCACTGCAGAGCGGCCTATATCCGCGTTGCTACGTTTTCAAACAATCACTCACTCTAGAGTCATAACCACTACAAAGCTACCTGGCGTTAATCTTTAACCTTAACATCATGGTTATGCACACCGGCTTTTGCTTCCCAGTGGGAGATATGGAAGTATTTCCGACGTGGCTTTCTGCTCTTTGTTCTGGAGGCTATCTACCACCTTCCCCGTGGCAGCCTCTCCTCACGGTGCAGCCCCCTCTACCAGCAGGGACATTTTGTGCTTTGCCCAGACTGCTCCTGATGTGTCCAGCCCTTGGCCCGCCGTGGCCCCACTCAAGCGCAAGCACTTGGGGTGCGTTAGCAAGCTGAGCACCCAAAGCACAGTGACCAAAACCAGTCGGCGGAGCCCAGTTATGGCCACAGCTGTGTGCCTATCGCTTGTACTTCGTTGGCTGAGGTGCGAGGGGCTGAGCTGGGCGTTTGGGTGGGTTTCCCTGGTGTTCTCAGCACACGATCAGCCCTCACCCCACAGACAGCACCCGGCCCCGCGCCCCCCTCGCCGACCCGCAGGCTCCTCAGCCAGGAGGGCAGCGCAGGGCAGGGCAGGGCAGGGCGGCGCTCCCCGGCTCCTCCTCACCCTCCCGGCGGCAGGAGCGGAGCAAAGGGAAGGGAAGGAAGGGAAGGGAAGGGCAAAGCAGCGAGGCGCGGCTCCCCAGCCCTGTGCTGCCTGCTGCGGCCGAGGGGCGGAGCGGGGCCGCTCCCTCAGCAGCGCAGCCCCCGGGCGTGCGGTGCGGTGCGGTGCGGTGCGGGGCAGGGCTGGGCATCGCGCTGCTCCTCCTCCTGTTTCCCTTCCTCCTCCTCCTCCCTTCCCGAGCTGCCAGGTACAGGCGAAGGGCGCAGGAACCGGGCGGGAGGCCAGGGACGGCCCGGCTCGGAGCGAGAGGTGAGTGAGGGGCTGGGGCTGGGGCTGGGGCTGGGACACGGACACGGGCAGGGGCAGGGGCAGGGGCAGGGGCAGGGGCAGGGGCAGGGGCAGGGTCAGGGGCACGGGCAGACACACGCGGGGCCAGCGGGCAGGCTGCTGTCCTTATCCCTCCCGGCACTTCCTCACAGGCCCGGGCCCGCCCTGGTGCCGATTTATTCCTTCTCCTCTCCTGGCAGCAGCCGCAGTGCCGCCTGCCCCACAACCGCCCCGAGGCGCCGCCAGCCCCGGCGGTTTCTCCCCGCGGCGAGCCCTTTCCTGCCCTCACACCCTGGCACCCTCCTCTGTTCCCGTGCTCAGTGTGACCCCGGGGGCTGTAAGGGCTGCAGTTTGGGCAGAGCTGCCCTGCAGATCCCCCGAGCAGAGGCACCTCAGGGATGTCCCGGTGCCAGCCCCGCAGCTCCACGCTTGGCCGGAGGGTCTGCAGGCGTGCGGCGTGCCCTGGCAGCTTGGTGTTTTTAGCTTTTAATGCACCGCGGTTCCTTGTCCTTGTTGCCTCTTTCAAGCCGAGGCGGTGTTTGTGCGGTGCCCTCTGAGAGGCTGGGTGCTGGTGGTGTTTGAGCAGCAGACTGAAAGCCCTGCTTCTGAAGAGGAAGCGGGGCCAGGAGCAGTTTTGGGGAATGCCCAAGGGCCACAAGTGGCGGTGCCAGGCCTGTGGCTTTCCGAGCCCTGCGAGCCAGCGGTGTCGAAGAGAGCTTCGCCCACGCCTTGGGCTGCTCGCTTTCACCCCTGTCAGCACAGGCATTTGTACGCAGAATTGTATCCACGAGGGAAACCGAAGAAGAAGAGAAAAAATGTACTCAGGTGATTTTGCTGACACGAGGACAGAGGAGATACTAAATAATGATACTGCCTTGTGGTGAAGTGCAGACACAGGTATCGTTCTGCTAGATTTCATACATGTGCTCTCAAAGTGAAATCGCATGCACATGTTTTCATGCTTAACCAGCTATAGATTTTTTTATTTTTTTTATGCGGTTATTGATGCTTAGGAGTGACTGGTGGCATTCTGACTTTCTTAAAGCCAGGGTTTTTGTTTTGCTGTGCTTAAAGAGTAATAACAACTGACCTCTACAAGTTGTGCTGCCCTTGTACCGCCTCAGCAGCTCTGCCTCCTGGGCACTGAGCCTTCAAGAGAGGCACAGCCCTTGCCCTCCACGACCCCTTGGTCTAAAGCACACCACAGTAAATCCACATGGTGCACAGCAGCACAAATTCAAAATCCCAGCTCCATCCCTGAGGCAGTACAGCCGTAGTTTTTTCCAGTGTACAACACAATGTCTTTATCTACCAAGAAAAAACAGGCTTTTTGGATAAGTACCAGCCCTTGTTAGTTGAGCAACTATTTGGTGAGAAGGTGTAGGCTGGCACATGCGAGAACATAGGAACCACGTTTGTTCCTCGGTGTAAATTGGCCTTTTGGAGTCCTCTGTTGTTTTTGTTGGAGCTCTATTGTAAGTTGTCAGGATTTTAGACATTCAGATTACCAGCACTCCTAGAGCAAAACTCAGTGGTAAGGTGATTTTCCCCCTAAAGGGATGGTTTTGAGCTGGACAGATTGTTTCATTTCTGTTGCTCTTCATTTTTTTTTGCCTCAGTTGAATCTTTAACACATACGCACACACTTTCATTGCCTTTAGGTTTGGAATCATTTTTCCTTATTAGTAGACTGTTGTTACCACCATACCTGTATTATTCCTTTGATACCCAATTTTGTAGCAATAGGGTTGACAACAGCCGTGGCCCTGATCCAAAGGAGTTCAAGGAACCAAGTCTGCAGTATTCTGAGAACAGCTTTTCAAAGAACTTGACTGAAATGGTTAGATGACGTTACAGCTTACTCCACAATAAAAATACTGAATGATCCATAATTTAACAAAATACCAGAAGTCTTCCTATTGAAATTCTTAAGCTGTAGGAAGTTAAGAAGCACTAATAACATTTGAAAGTTTGGGGAAGATTAAGCTGTAACAGGCTGGCTGTTGAGCCTCTGGAAGGGAACCTCTGAACATTGAACTGGGCTTTGCTCTCAAGTAGTATCTTTTGGCCCAAATCCCTCTTCTGTTATCTAATCGGTAACGTAAAGTTTCATAATTACATTAAATTTGGTGCATAGGTGGACTGAAAACTAGAAAACCCTGTTTCTAGGCATGAGGTCCTTAACCCCTAGTTTCATTTTATGTTCACATAACCTAATCTAGTCTGCTCTGTGGTCAGTCCTAGAAAGGGTCATCACCTCTTCTGTCATTCCTTGCGTATGGGAATGGTCCTTGACTTTCTGTTTTGACATAACTTACTACTTTTTTAAAAGACCTGCAAACGTCTGTCAACATTGAGTCGTTTACAAAGAATGCTAGAGGGGATATAACATAGTTATTTTTCATGTTCAAGCAGTCTGTACTGTGCCAAAGACCAGGGTGTCTGTGACTTGGGTTCTCAGATGCTGTTGAAAGTCTCTAGTAAGTGGAAGTCACCCACTTCATTGCCTAAGCTTGCACTGCAAAAGTGAGTTTCTTAGGGTTTGGTTTGACCAGACACTGAGAGCTGATCTGGTGTCTTCTTTCAGTGCTCAAATATCCCAAATCCTTCCTGCAGCATCAGTCACTGTATACCTACAGAGATGCCTACCTCCTGCTTCAGTAATTCACAGAACTCTACTGATCACAACCAGAGCTTCTACTTTGAGCATCCTCTCTAGTTTGGCTTGGCACAATTGCTGTTTACTTGTCCTGGCAGGAGCCTGGTGGGATCTCAGGTGATATGTGCCGAGACAGGATAGGTGCTTACATCCCTGGGCAAGCAGACAGTCAGCTGGAACTGCCGTTACGTGCCTTGATGTTGCTGGCAGAGACACATTGCAGTTACTTGTCTCCCCCTTCGTGTCTACCCAAAGAAGTAAAACTGTTCTGGTTTTGGTCTCATGGGATCAAGCTAGCAGAACTCATCTGCCTTTTGCTGCAAGTATAAACTTCCATTTACAGTGAAAATTACAATTATAAGCGTACAAGTCAAGGAAATTCTTCTGTTCACTGGATAGATTGCAAAAACAGATCCCACCCACAGCTGCAGGCGTTACAGTGTCCTGACTGACTGATTCACATTGCAGAGTGGGGAAACCTGGGTGAAACTGGGCTTTCTCTACCCAACAGGAGATGCTTGATTTAGGGAAAAAAATACATCCAGAATTAAAAAAAAAAAAAA